AATATAGACTTTGTATAAATATAAATATCATATTCAAACCCTTTAAGGAAGAAAATATTTCAAAAACTTGACAACGCCTTTAGCAAGTACAGTGAATCATACAAGTAATATAGTAAAAGTAAAGTATCGTTCCCATGGAGATCGATGCAAACACGTATTGATTCACTAAATTGAGCTAATTGAATGTGATTAAGATTGAAGGGGACTCTAAAATATAAATTGATTTAATTAACTTTACAAGTAAATAAACAATGAAATCTGAATAAGATAAAACAATTCAATGAAAAAATAGTTAGGATTAGACTTCACCCATTGTTCATGTTATAAACTAAACTCTCCTGCTAGTTCAAGCTCTAAAGATGTTAAGAAAAATTTTCACTAAATTAATTTATATCCAATTCCTTGGTATACAAATTCTCTTGAACCCATACACAAAGATTAATTCTTTAATTCCAAATGTATGAGTCTAAGGTTTTAGAGCACAATGAAACCAAAAGATCATACACCTAATAATTTTTATTCCTAGAAAATTAAATGATGAGGCAAGTAAATCAAGAAGCACAATCACTTATTCCATTTTCCAATGTCAAGAATGTTCATCAAAATAAAGCATGAGTAGCTAGTTCATACCAAACATTAAGAACGGATTTACAAGCTAACATCAAAAGAAGCTTAAACTAGAGTCAAGAATCTAATTACATCACAATCTCAAAGGGATCCATTAACCCTAACTACAAAATGTTTAGCAATCCATTACAAAAATGAAAAACACAAGAAAAGAAGAAGAGATTCCCTTTGCCATATTCTTGAGAAGAAAATGAGTCTAGGAATCTTTTCCAATCTTTCTCTCCAAGAACCCAAGTGTGGGTCTGTTCTTCCAGCTCTAAAAGAATTGCTCCCTTGTCCTACCTCAAAAAATTCCCCACTCCCTTTACAATGTGCCTCACAATCTCTTTTATCTTACACAATATGTATTTTTATTCACGTCAGTAAAGTTGCGTCTTGATGCACAAACGTCTGTGTTTTGGCGCTGAAAGTCGTGCAACTTTATTAGCTAATTGTGATAAGCGCCTTAGCACACACAAGCTTGCGCCTTGGTACACAAGATGACTTGAGCACATTGTCACACTTGGGTGATGCCTTGGCACACATTGATTTGTGCCTTGACGCTGAATAACCTACAATCAAGATTTAAACTTCAACAATTTTCACCCGAAACAGTAGTGAGGTAAGAAAAATTATAAAAACTAGAATTCTAATAAATTTGGAAGAAAAAGAGAAAAATAAGAAATTAAAGAAGAAGAAGAAGAAAAGATTAAAATTAATTAAAAATTATATGCTACTAAACTCTTCACAAGCACGGTGATAAAATTCCACCAAGCCCACCCAAATTAAGAAATATGTTGACAGCCAAAGAAACAAAGAAGAAATGGAAAAGAAAAAGAAGATTTACATAACTTGAATAAATCGAAAAGGAGATTATTTGAGTTCAAATGCTTAGTTTGTTAAAGAACTAAATCACAATAAATAAGACTGTCTAATTTAAAAAAAGAAAAAAACATAGACTTTAAGTATTTTAAATCCAATAGACCATTACTAGTGTCAGTAACCTAACTTAACATTGCACCTTTAATTTAATTGAGCACAGTCTAACTTAAAAAGACATCTCCTGTAACACTTTAAATTTAATTTTTAATCGATAAATTTTGAAAGAAAAATAGAAATAATAAATTTTTTCATTAAATTGGTTCTTAGTGTATAAGTTCAAACAAATATTTTAAAATAAGGATGGTTTACAAGTTTGTTTCAATGATTGTTACAAGAGTTAATTAATATATCAAATTTTTAAAATAAATTTCTAAGTCCTATAGCAATTTCATCAATCCTTCACTGAGTCCGATGCTGATCATCTTGGTCACCTGAAAAATAAATATAAGGGTGAATACTCTACACTATCTAATACACACATAACATAGAGACTCACCCTGCACACTCTCATGTATTCTAACATATTCTAATCAAGTATAGGCAATCACAGGCAACACTTTCAAACATTTCATTTTAATTCATAACCGATGCACTCACGGCACCAAAACATTTTTCATACATGTGCACTCACTACACATAGTCACGCTCACTGTGGCACTGTAATCATAGTTTCACACCATAGATGGTTGTCAGTTACCCCTATATCATTGATACCACGTGTGCGGTCATGAGTCGCTCGGCACGCTCACTGTTGGTGTCACCACCACTCTCTCTTCCCTAAGGTATTTCTACCGTCTCCATCTTCCACACTTTTAGTGTATCACTGAACCATTTACAGAATATTCATAATCGCATTTAACATGCTTTATTCACACACATTTCAATTGTATACGATATTCATATTCGTACACGGCACACAGGTATTCATTTATATCACACAGCACAGGTGCCCACACTCATTTGCGTTACATTTAACGCACAACAATTCCATACACACAACATTTCTAACATAATCCACACTATACTCAATTATGCATTTTATCACACTCAATAGTCAACATTCAACACACAATATTCCACGCAACTTTTCCACCACGATTTCATAACAACCAATCATTCACATTTACGAACATAATCAGAATCAACTCATCCAATCGCTGCCAAATCATATTTCCCATAAGATTTTTATCACAATATAATCACAACTAAGCCATTCTCATTAAATATACATCTTCCTACATTCTATCTCAACCAAATTCAATCCATGACAAAATAAACGAATTCAAAACACAATGATATAGGGTAGAGTCTCCCCTTACCTCAAATTGAAGACCCAACACAATCTAATGGTAGAAAATGTTCTCCACATGAATTTCGTCTCTAAACACATGGAAAACTCCATGAGAAATCAAAGGAAACTCAAAAAACAGAGAAGAGGGATGGAAACTGAAATCCTAACCATGGAAACTCACCTCCAAAAGCTCTAGACATGTTTCTAACCTTCAATCTTGCACCCAAACGGCTTTAGAGGCAATTTAATCGGTAAGAATGACTTGGAAATAGAGAGAATCAAAAGGGAGATGAAGTGAGAAGAGTGGGAATGTGTTTCCCAAACCCTAAATCCTTCAAATACTCCTCTGGTCGTGACACTCTCGCTGCAACAAGGCATCTCTCGCTATTGCGATGCCCCTTGTCGCTACAGCGAAAATCTCAGAAGAAATTACACTCTGGTTTCTGTAGAATCTCACTACAACAAGACTGCACCCAGAATTACACCCCAAACTGTCGCTCTCTTGCTACAACGAGAAGGCGATAGTTTCACGCCTTCCTCCCAAGGCCTTCTCGCTATAGTGAGAATACCCTGCCCCTGCACCAAACGCTTAGCCAAATTTTCATCAATCACACTAGCCATAGTCCAACATTCTCAGCACACACACACACACACACACACATATATATATATATATATATATAACAATAATCAATATTATAAAAATTCAGACTGTTATATCTCCTAATACTTTTTTTCTCTCAAATTAAAATTTTTTATTTCTTCATTAACTATAATCATATTCTTCTAGCAATTTTCTACTTCTTCAAATGCACATATTATTATTAACAAAATTATATTTTTTTTGTTCTTTAAATTTAGATACAATTTTAATTTAATCTTCTAACTTTATTTTTATTCACTTTAGTTTTTTAAATTTAAATAAAGTTTTATTTTAATACCTTGACATTTTTTCAATTCAATTTAGTCATCTAAATAATTTTTTATTAAATTTTTCCTTTATCTTTGTTATAATTTTCAATTTTTATTGATTCAAATAATGTTTTGATATTTGATATAAATATAGATTTATAATAAAGATGAGTAACATTTAAAAAATATAAATAAGTCGACAATAATTATTAAATATTTAAAATTAAAAAAATTACAAAAACAAGTTGTTGATCATAAATAATTTGCCGGCAATTAAAAGAAATTAATTATGATTTTAAATTTTTGAAAGATGATTTAATAGTAAAATACTTTAAAAGTTGTAAAATAAGAACAAATTAGTCTAAAACATTTTTGTTATTTAAAAGATAAAAATTATTAAATAATTATTTTATCTTAAAAAATAAATTAAATAAAATGAAAATTTAAATAAAACTGAAACGAAATTTTAAAAAATAATTTAAATAACCAAATAAAATATCAAATTAAAATTTCATTTAAAAGGAATACTAGCAACACATTTTTTAACACACTCTCTATTATTGATTAAAATTTATTGAAAATTTAAAAAAATATAAAAAATTAATCTAAAAGTAAAAAAGAGTAAAATTCACATTTTTCTTATTTTTTAATAAACTTGAGCTAATAATAAATAATGTGTTAGAGAATGTATTATTTACATCACTCTTTTACTTAAAGGAACAAATTATAATTTAATCATTATTATTCTAATTTCAAAATTTTCATAAACTGAGTCAATTAAATTAATTAAACTTTCCATGTATTCAAAATTTACACAATTAAAATAACTACATCTCATACAAAAAAAAATAAAAATTATATTGTTAAACTAAATTTCACATTTTATAAAATGCTTTTTCTAACATCACACAATTCAACAAAAGTTATCGCATGATTCAATATAAATAATATTAAATATTACAGTTTTCCAATTAAAACTTAATTTTTATTTTCGTAACACGTGCACATTAAAAAATAGTTTGTAAAAATGTATAAATTTCAAATAAACTAGTTTGACTGAGAGCACCAAAAAACAAGATGAAGCTGGTTCGCTAACCGCCACAAACGACTTTTTGAATCAAAAGCATACATATAATTTTGGAAGTCTTCTATGCAAAACGTGCCTTTTTTTGACCAACGAAAGGCAAGATAGGTTCACCGGTAGAACATCATTCCTATGTTGAATGTGGCTACTAATACAATGAATTAATGGTCCAAACTCAAAATCCAACGTTTCAAAAACCGTTGTCACTTCATCACAAATCCACAAATGGATAAACAATTAACTTTCCTTCCCCTCCTCATCTCCCTCTTCACCATTCTCACACATAGCACTTCTGCTTCCTCATCATGCCCCATGGACCTCACCTACGTTCAATCCTACCCCTGGAACACTTCAACATGCAGACACCCAATTGACAAACAACCCTGCTGCCTCACTCTGTTGAGCATCTTTGGCATAGGTCTCGCCAAACACCTCAAAGAAACCAGCTTTTTTCAACTTCCCAATGAAAACTCTTCCTCAGCTTGCTTATCTGATTTCCAACTCAAGCTCAAAGCCTTGTCAATTCAACCATCTTTGGTCCCTTCTTGCTTCCCTAACCCATCACAGTTTGTTACTAACTCTTCAACTTGTGCAGGTATTAGAACTACCCAAGATTGGAAACAAAAGGTGGGTTTAATTAGCCCTTTAGACACTTATTGCAATGGTGACCTTAGTGACAAAACTCGTTGTGACAATTGCATTAGCGAGGGCTTAAAACTCGCTTCTCGGCTTATTACTATTGACCCAAATGCTAGTGCCACTGCTTGTTTTTCCTTTGCTTCGTTATATGCTGCTGCTTTTGTTAATCCCTATGGTACAATAGATGTTACCACCACTGGTTGCCTATTAAGCCTTCCACTCTCTAGTGGGGCAACAAAAGAGTCTTCGAATAATAGAGAAAAAGTGTTGAAGCTTGTTTTCACCCTATTGGGTGTTGTTATTGGTGTTTTGCTTGCTTTTGTAGGGATCATTGTGTACAAAAAGTGGGATAAGAGAAGTAGGGAAAGGGTTTATCATAGGGAAATTGAGAACAATGTTAGGGCCAGTGTTTTGCCTAATACTGGGGTGAAATGGTTTCATATATCTGAGCTTGAGCGTGCCACGAGTAAATTTTCCAAGAAGAATATGATTGGTAAAGGCGGTGATGGTGTTGTGTATAAAGGGAAACTTTCTGATGGGACTTTGGTTGCAATTAAGGAACATTTTGATTTAGAAAATAAAGGGGATGAAGAGTTCTGTTACGAAGTGGAGATCATAAGCAAAATTAAGCACAGGAATCTTCTTGCTCTGAAAGGTTGTTGCATTTCAAGTGATAAATTGAAAGGTAAGAGGAGGTTTCTGGTTTATGATTATATGCCGAATGGGAACCTCTGTTACCAATTGTCACTTGCCGGGGCTAATAGGTTAACATGGCCACAAAGAAAGAATATAATACTTGATGTGGCTAAAGGGCTTGCTTATTTGCATTATGAAATCAAACCCCCAATTTATCACCGTGACATAAAGGCTACCAACGTACTTTTGGATTCCAAAATGAATGCTAAAGTGGCTGATTTTGGCTTGGCAAGGGAAGGTAGTGAAGAGCAATCTCATGTCACAACAAGGGTTGCTGGCACATATGGTTGTGGCACCAGAGTATGCTTTATATGGACAACTAACAGAGAAAAGTGATGTGTACAGTTTTGGTATCGTGATTCTTGAAATCATGAGTGGAAGAAAAGTGCTTTCTACTTTGAATGCTTCTGCTGATTCAATCACGGATTGGGTATGGACACTTGCGGAATCAGGAAAAATGGATGAAATTTTTTATCAGTCAATAAAAGAAGAAGGGCCAGCAAAAGTTAAGGAAAGGTTTGTTCATGTTGGAATGCTTTGTGCTCATGCTGTGGTGGCATTAAGGCCTACTATTGCTGAGGCTCTCAAAATGTTAGAAGGTGATGTTGACATTCCCAAATTACCTGAAAGGCCAGTGCCACTGGGTCATGCTTCGTTTCAATCTTCTTTGTTGCATGGTTTGCAGAGAAGTGGAAGATCTTCACAACACATTTCATCTTATTGAAGCATATGAGTATATTATATGGATTCATCGTTAACACACAGTATAATTAATATGGATTTAAATTCGGTATTTGTTTGTGTAGTTTTGTTCAGAATCATACTCTAACTTTGCTTCTTCTTTTTTCTTTTAAGATTTAAATTTGTATTTTAAGTTTATTTAATTTGAATTGTATGTAATTTTGACTTTTTAATAGTTTTTAAACATTGTTTTTAAAATTAAGCAAGGTCTTGCTTAAAAATTTAAAATTATTAATTTTTACTTATTATATTTTACTTCAAATCATTACAAATTGAATTAATTAAATTATTTTTTAATTTTATATGCTCAAAATTTGCCAACCAAAATGTTGAATTTTCCTTGAAATTTAAAAGTTTTTATTTTTATTTCATCAAATCTTAACATCATGTTGTATAAAATTCTTTTAATTCTAACAATCAAAGGTGAATGAATGAATGGAGATAAGGAAACAAAGTTGAATGCTATGAAAACGTGATGCGTGCAAGCTCTTATGTGGAAGAAAGAGGAAGAAGCTAGAAACCACTGATGTAGAAGAGCAAATAACTAATGAGTAATGATGGGAAAGACAACATTGATCAAGTGAAAATGACAATGAAGCAAGGATTGACCCAAAATAGGTAGAGGAAAAACTTCATCATAAACATCAAAATTATCATTAATTAGGAAATAAAGATCATTATGGATGAGAAGGAATACCTTAATATGATCATTGTAGAGACTCAAAAAAGAAACTTCATTGCGTGAAAAACTTAACATTGTGTGAAAATTGAACGTAAATTTAACTTTTAGCTCTATTATTTTTATCATAAACTTTATTAATAAATCAAGTTTCTGAAATTATACTTTCACATGAATTAAGTTTCTTAATTAACAAGATAATTATTAACATTATTTAAAATTTAATTTCTTATTCTTTAATTGGTAAGATTTGTAATCTGCAATATACCGTAATCATTCAATACTACGAATGAATGGACTTCTATTTTGTACAACTCACTTTAAAAAGTAGAACATTCAGATTTTTTAAAGTTTTCTATTAATATACACTTGGAACAATCTCACCTATTTTTTACAGAAATTTTTTGGCCATTTTTAAAGTTTTAATTTAATTTTTTGTTTTTCAAATTCACAATATGACTCCGCCCCCATCTTCTGGCATTTTGCTGACATAAATTTTCACGAAGTTTATACCCCTTTGCAAATGTTCACAATCCTCTTAAAGGTCTTATCCTATCTCGACAAATACTTCACTATAATTTTTCTATCATTAAAATAAAATATTAAAAATAATCACCTGATAAGATTAAACATATAAATTAAGTCAAAACTTCTCTTTAACACATCTCTCAAAATCAAATTATTAAACATATAAATTAAGTCAAAGATAGCAGATTTTGAAACTAGTATGAACTTAATTTAAAATTAAAAAGAAATAAATTTTGACAATGAAAATTCAGTTCAATAATATTACATAGAGATATAAAATTATCATATTATAATACTTAAAAATTAATTTTTAATTATTTTTATTGGTTTATATAATTTAATTAAAAATTTTGTTAAGCTCAGCTCTTAACTTAGTTTTAGAGTTAATTAATTAATAATAATAAAATTTTATTAAAAAATATTTATTATATTTTTATAACTTTAATACAATAACTGTATATTTTTTTATAAAAATTTTCTATCCATAAATATTTAATCTCAGCTCTTAAAATTGAGATTAAAAAAATCTTTTAATTAAATGTACAGTACAGAAGAGCATGACTGGGGCTTACAATTTTCAACTCACGTCAAACGAAGTGTTTTCTAAAACAAAGTTAATGATTAAGAATCCGATTCGTAGCTGGACATAATTGAAAATTTTGGTCGACCATAAGAAAACAAGTGCAAGTGGCCCGAAAGTATGAACAGTTTACCAATGTATTCAAATTGTCCAAGAGAGGAAAATAAATGCGTAAAAATAAAAGAAAGAAAGAAAGAAATGAAACTCTAGTAGCTGACAGTAAACTTAATTGAATTCACTGACATGTTCAACGCACTAAAGCATGTTCGGATTTTCTTGGACACTATACATATGCAACAAATCAAACTATATATCTCAAATATTTCTTCTATAATCGTATGTGGTCGAATTACAATGTATACAAAGTGAAAAAGAATTCAAGATATATACGGCACGACAATGAAGGTTAATTTGAAGCTATGTGGTGGCCGTGAATTTCTGACTCTAAACTGATTCTGATCCAAAGACTATCATTACAAAGAAAGTAGTTCAGAGCTTCAATCTATATTGTGCTCATACTTGTTGAATAAGATGAAATATATGGAGTTGATCTTCCACTTCTTTGAAAACCATACAACAGTGAAGATTGGAAGGACTCATGACCCAGTGGTACTGGCCTATCAGGTAAACTGGGGATGTCAATGTCACCCTCTAACATCTTAAGGGCCTCTGCAATTGTAGGCCTCAATGCCACCATTGCATGAGCACAAAGTATCCCAACAAGAACAAACCTTTCCATGATTTTTTCTGGCCCTTCTTTTCTTATTGACCCATCAAAAATTTCCTCCACTTTCCCTGATTTTGCAAGCATCCATGCCCAATCCGTGATTAAAACCACAGATGAATTCAATGTATCAAGCACTTTTCTCCCACTCATGATTTCAAGAATCACAATGCCAAAACTGTACACATCGCTTTTCTCTGTTAGTTGCCCATATAGAGCATATTCTGGTGCCAAATAACCATATGTGCCAGCAACCCTTGTTGTGAGATGAGACTGGCCTTCATTACCTTGCTTGGCCAAGCCAAAATCTGCCACTTTGGCTTTCATTTTAGAATCCAAAAGTATATTGGTAGCCTTTATGTCACGGTGATAAATTGGGGGTTTAATTTCATAATGCAAATAAGCAAGCCCTTTAGCCACATCAAGTATTATATTCTTTCTTTGTGGCCATGTTAACCTATTAGCCCCAGCAATTGACAATTGATAACTTAGGCTACCATTAGGCATGAAATCATAAACCAAAAACCTCCTCTTACCTTTCAAATTATCACTTGCAACACAACAACCCCGAAGAGCAAGCAGATTCCTATGCTTTATTTTGCTTATGATCTCCACTTCATAGCAGAACTCTTCATCCCCTTTAGTTTCCAAGTCAAAAATCTCCTTCACTGCCACTACAGTGCCATCTGAAAGAGTCCCTTTGTACACAACCCCATCACCACCTTGACCAACCATATTCTTCTGTGAAAATTTATTAGTGGCACGTTCAAGCTCAGATATGTGAAACCACTTAGCGCCAGTGTTAGGCAAAACACTGTCCCTAACACTGTTCTCAATTGACCTATGATAAATATTTTCCTTCCTTCTCATATCCCACTTCCTATACACAACTATCAATACAATAGCAAGCAGAACACCAATAACAGCACCCAATAAAGCAAAAACAAGTTTAAGCACATGTTTTCTATTTGATGACCCTTTTGCGGACAGTGGCATGCCAAGTATGCAACTAGCAGTGCCTAAATCTGTTGGACCAAACTCATTAACAACAGCTGTAGCATACAAAACAGTGAAGTAAAAACACTTTGTGGCATTTGGATCAATACCATTCAACTGTGAAGTCACTTTCAAGCCAGCATCAGAACAAATACTGCAGAGAGTTTGATCCCCAAGTCCACCCTTGCAAGAAGTGTCTAATGGGCTAATCAACCCCACTTTTTGCTTCCAATCTTGGATAGTTCTAATACCTGCACACGTTGAAGAGTTAGTAACAAACTGTGACGGGTTAGGGAAGCAAGAAGAGACCAAAGATGGTTGAATTGACAAGGATGTGAGTTTGAGCTTGAAATCAGATAAGCAAGTTGTGGAAGTGTTTTCATCAGGAAGTTGAAACAAAGAGGTTTCTTTGAGGTGTTGGGCTAATCCTATGCCAAATACACTGAGAAGAGCTTGGCAACAGTGTTCCTTATCAATTGGGTCTCTACAGCTGGAGGTGTCCCATGGAAAGTTATCAACGTAGCTGAGATCCATGGGGCATGATGCAGATGCAGCAATGGTGAAGAGGGACATGAGAAGGGGAAGGAGAATCACTTGCTCATCCATTTTTGGATTTGAGAGAGTCACAAACCCAAACCCTGGGCTTTGAAACCAACTATGGACCATTATATCAGCCGTTTTCAGAGACCAAAGTTTTACTAGTCAACTTCGGCTTGCTATGGTCATTAAGCACGTTTTGTATATAATATATAGCAATATAAAATTTCTTTTTTTTTATCTATTAGCCATTTGTGCTGGTCATCTAACAAACGAGGTTTGGCTTTTTATGGTCATCTTGGTCAAATTGTTACCACCATATTACTATTTCTTGAACAGCTATTTCTTTATTGGACAAGGACATTTGCATTTCTCTATCATTCTCTCTACTCTCTTCACTCTGAAGTCTAAATGTTTACACGCAAACTGTAATTCCACGCCTTTTATATATCATGGAATTTAACAGAGACACAAAATGTATGAAAAAGGTGATCTAAGATGCATAATGTAATTAGAAACGGCGGAAAGAAAAGTGTATGGTAAATATAATATTTGAAGTATAAAAATGTTTAAGATTGTCAAAGTAACGCTACTAGTCCAACATTTTGCTTTGGAAGGCCGAATATTACTAGTTACTTGTGGAGTTTAATTTTGAAATGTTGTTGGTGTGAGAATTTTTATATTAGTAATTGATTAAAAATTATTACTGATGAATTTTTAAGATAATTGTTATAAAATTTAATAATTTCAAATGATATAACAATTTATGATCGTATGATAATAAATAAATAAATAAAATTTATTTATTAAATGAAATTTCAATTTAAATATATTCACAAAAAATAATTCAATTGTATTAGTTTATTTATTTTTTGAATTTTTAAATACTTTTTATTTTTATCTAGTAACATTTATTATTTTTTTTAGGAGTCTTTCATAAAAAAAAATCATCAAATGACTCAATAATATTTATTCATAGGATATTGATTAAAAAATTAAAAGTAATTTTTATTAAAAACAAAAACATATATTTATCTCCATAATTTTTAATAATTTTTAATATAAATTTCAAAATCTTTATGGATTAATAATTTTTTAGTTAGTATTTTTAAGACGCTAATTAACAATATTTTTAATTTAATATCTTTAAATATCACAATTTTTACATGTTGTTAGTTTTTTTATATAATTAATATATCTAAAAATAGTATATCTTCCTTATAATGACCTTTTATATAATTAATATATCTATAAATTTGTATTTTTAATCATGAGTTTAATGTAATTCAACATATTGATATTATTAAATGTTATAATTTTTAACATTATTATTTATTAATTTTTTATTATATAAAGTTTTGCACAAATTTTAAAAAAAATATTTTTATAATTAGAACTAAAAAATACTACAATTTTATTTTATAAAAAACAAACAGAGAGTATTTTATTATAAGTTATTTAAAAATATGAAAAAAAATAAAGTAAATGAAAAATGAATTTTCAGAAGTAAAAGAATCCAAAAAAACTTATTTATACACTTAAACTACCCCCTATATCAATATCTACAAATAAAAAATATTACAATAATTAAATATAATCAAAGCAATGTATCTTTTCTAGATTCGTTTATAATATGATAAGAAAATATTATTGGACTATACCACACGTAAAATACTATAACAGCGAACGTTTATAATATCAAATAAATACCTATTAAATATTTTTAATGTTTTTTCATATTATATTATTATTTTTAATTATTTCATCACTCAAATGGGAAGGGAGTTTATAAACAAATTTTTAAGAATAAAATAATTTTTATGTAAATTTAAATATATAAAGAAAAAATCAATAAATAATAAAATTTTATAAATTATTATAATATTTAATATTGGAAGAAAATTTAGTTATAATATTTATATGCTTTTACTAGTGTTCTCTAATTAAATTTCAGGTTATAATTTAGAAATATGAAACAGAATTAAATATAAATTGTTATTAAATAAAATTTTAATTAATAAATAATAATTTTAGAATATAATATTATTTCTATTTAATGTTAATATATTATTATATAATTTTTAATAAAAATTATTAATCAACGATTGACTGTGTTTGATTTTTGGTCGATAAACATGGAATCAGTTTTATTAGAGATAATGCACGGGTACGGCTTAACTTTCATGAAAATCGAGATACATTAAATGGTAATAATATGAGAATATTTATTATTATTATCATTCTAATTTTAAAATTTTTATATAAAACATTTCTACTATTGACACAATTATAAAAATAAATATTTTTAATAAAAATTATTTTAAAAATGTAATAACAGAGATACGAGTAAAGCAATAAATTTACTCTAATAATATAAAAATAAATAAATTTAAATTTTACTAATAAGAATAAGTAATTAATATTAAAAATTATTTATAATATAAAAATATAATTTTTATAATAAAAGTGATAATTTCTTAAATTTAATTTTAAAGACAGAGGATAATAAAAATGATAATATAATTTTATATTCGGAGGAATCAACTTTATTGTAACATTTTTTTGCCAGCAATGAATTATAGTACTTTGTCTTGTTTGGTCAAGAGCAAGAGCATGGAGCACATGATGAGGAATGGGAACAGACAAATAAGTGAAATAAATAATGTACAAGAGAGAGGTAGGTTAATATCGTGTCGGAATAATTTTAAATCTTCATAATTTTATATTTATAATTTTTTTATATTTTTATTTTTATTTTTTATATAAAATAAATAATTTATTCCTCAAAATTAATACCAGACAGTCATATATTATATGTTAATATTGTATTTTAAATATTTAAATGAATTAAATTATTTTTAAATTATTTAAGTTTGATTTATCAAATGTTTAGTTAAATTTTATTTATTTAATTAAATAAATAAATTTAAATTTAGACTCAATTATTCAAATCAGACAAAATTAAATTTTATAAGTTCAATATCAATAAATATAAATAATTTGCCTATATATGTATATTTAGATGATTATAGTTTTATTTAAATAAATTTTATTTTATTTATTATTTAATGTTTAACATAAAAATATTTATGAATATTAAATTAATACAAAAATTTAAAAATTATAAGATAAACAAATAAATTAAGAAGTTAAACTTGAACTTCAAACTTTTTAATTAAATCAATTTAAAATTTAAAATCTTTCTTATTTAAATAAATGAGTTAAATTTAAAAATTCATTTTATAATTTAAGTTTTAGCTTCAGATATTCAGCTTAAATCATTTCATTTACATCTCTAAATATATTTTAAACTATTTATAATATTAAATAATTGAATTAATAACTTATATATTAAATAATTAAAGATATCTACTTATATGACAATGAATAAATATTTCATTAATATAAAATTTAAATTAACTAAAAATATGAAAATAATTTAATAATAATATATCTAAAATATATGTATATTTTTTATAATTAAGACAAAAAAATTATATATTTTTTTATGAAAATACTAAAACAAATATTAAATAAAAATATAATATACTTTTACATTTTAAAATTTATATATGTATACATATAGGATAATTAATTTTAATATGAGATTAAAGTTGCAAAATATCTTAATATGGAATTTTTTGCAAAATTACAGAGATTTATCTTCTGAAAAACGATTTTTGTCTACTCTAAGTTGAAGTTGTTGTGAATAGTATTTGAATCAATTGCATAGCCTTAAAAAATCGTTAATGACAATTTTTATTGGCCTTTTTCATTTTCCGAAACTCTGTTACTTTGCAAGGACATGTCTTGTCACTAAAAACTTATCATCACCTGAAGCATCACTTTCATGTGCAGATAGCAGGGGAATTAGGAGGGTAAAAAGGGAGAACAAGACTAAGGAAGAAGGAGACCAAAAAGGTAGGAAAGAAAAAAATTATAAATTTTTTTAGAAAGTTTGATAAATTTTATGAAATTTTTTTACATTAGAAATCTATCAATATGGTTTGTGATAAAACTATGGATTCACACAAATATAATTTAGAATGCGTACGTTCTTAAAATGTAAGTATATATTAATTTATTTTTAATTAATGCAAGTTATTTTTATTAATTATAATTTTTTATTTTATTTTCATTGATAGTAAATTGTAGTTATTCAATAATTTAATATTAGAAAATGCATAGTATAAAATAATAATTTTATAAAATAGTGAAAGATAATATGTAGTTTAAGTTTTTAATGTCATAAGATATTAAAAAAATATAATAAATTTATTAAATATTAGAATTTTCATATTAGGAAATGTATGGTATGACAATAATAATTTTGGACAAAGTTAACATAATAAATAATAAGTATAGCACTTTTTTATTTTGTTAATTACTTTTATTAAAAATAAATATAATTAAAAAAATTAATAATAAAAAAATTTAATATAATTACTTTTGTTGCTAAAAGATCTAAAGTTAAGGAAAAGTCTAGATCATATTTCTAAGAAAAATGTTGAGAGATTGACAAAGACATATTCTACCTTCATTAAATTTTGATGATTTGAAAATATGTGTGAGTTGCGTTAGAAAAAATTTTACTAGGACAAAAATGAAAGGAGCAAAAAAGAATACAAACTTTTTAGATATCGTTCATACTAACATTAGTGGCCTTTGATTCCTACAATTTGTAATAAAAAATATCTCATTGCATTTATTCATGATTTTTTCCATATCTTTATTTGATTAAAGAGAAGTCTTAAGCACTTGAAATTAAAATTTTTAAAAGTAAAGTAAAAAAACAATTAAGAAAAATGATCAAGATTATAAGATTTGATGAGTGTGGGGAGTGTTTTGATAAATGTGGTGTTATAAGGCAACATTTGGGACCATTTGCTTTATTTTGTAGGATTGTGGAATAGTTCATGAACAAAATGGTATGACTAAAAGGCATAGTAGGACACTCAAAGTTATGATAAGAAGTATGATGAGTGAAAGTAACTTACTCAAATTTTTGTGGATAAAGCCTTAAAATAAGTCATTTACATTCTTAATAAGTTCCTAGTAAATATGTTCCTAAAATACCTTGTGAGCTTTGAATAGGGA